ATTAATAGGAAGCAATTGCCAACGGCAACTATTTAAAGACACCATAATTTTATGCAATATATTCAGGAATATAATAATCTGAAGAAATGTTCATAACTTTTGTGAATTAAATTCAAAGACTAATTTTTAGACATTTGCACAGCCTACTCCTGAAGAGACAGGAGTAGGAGTCACAGACGAGTGTGTGCGGTGGACGCGGCTGGCCGAGTTGGGGCCTCCTGAAAACTCGTCGGTGATCCTCTTCATGTTGACAGTTGAACTCGAAAGTCACGATCCCCTCTCGGTTAGTTCTACGCCATGAAGGCCGATTTGCAGAAACGGTTTCCCAGGTATCACGGTCGATACCTTCAACTGATCCTTGAGTGTCGTTTTAGACTTCCATGTAACCTCTTGTCGCTGGCGAGTTCTCCAAAGAGGATGATACGTGGGTGGGACGTTTTCTGGTCATGTGACCCGCCCAACAGAGACGATGTTGAAGGCTGGTAACCTCGATACTAGAGAGAGATATTCGAGATAGGTCCTCGAGGTTGCCGATGTGGTCCTCCCAACTGATGCGAAGGATTCTTCGGAGCTTTGTTTGCTAGAACCGTTCTTGTTTGAGATACGTGATAATCAGAAGGTCATGTAAGAACAGAAGGTGTGTTAGGACATACCAACCGAACTGTACAAACTCCTTCCAGATTCGTAAAGGGACGTAAATTTTGGCGTTGTCTTGAGAGTAGACAACAGAGATTGATGAATTCAGGATGATTTTTTTCTCAGATTTCTGCCTTTAATCGATTCCATTATGAACAGCCAGTTCAGTGCCATAAGTTATTCCACTATTTGGAGATCATGTCTCTTTCGATCCATGACTGCTTAGGCAAAATTTTCCCGCATTAGGCTTCCGTTTATTTCTGCGGGAGATTGGTGTTCACCCAAAGCTATAGGACCCAGTGTGACTTGCTATTCAATCCATAGCTGATGCGAGGTGAATAGATTCACAGCCAAGTGTATTTACGCATAAATGATTATAATGCAACTCGAGTTCTCCTATTTCTCGTGGATTGCAACTCATACCGAGCTCTTCTCCATTACCCAACACTGCACATGCTTAAACAGAATTTATTAGGCGGAAACGTTGTGTTTATAATAAAACTTAATATAATGAAGTTGGTAATAATATTTCAAATAAGTGAAAGTATATTATCTCAAAAATAAAAACACATATTGTAAAACAAAATCATTGTGAGCCAAATGTAAAACATGTGTCAAAAACAAAAACAAAAACGAAAGAAATACAAAGCAAAAAAGAAATCAAAGCAAAGCAAAAAAGAGCAAAAAATAAAGGAAATCAAATAAAAGCAAAACAAAGAAAAACAAAACAAAAATAAAGTAATGCAAAAAAGAAAAGAAAAGCAAAAGAACAAAAAGCAAAATAAGCAAAACGCAAGAAAAGAATAGCAAAAAACAAAAAAGTAAAGCAAAAAAACAATGAAAAGAAAAAACAAAAAAGAAAAGCAGAAAAAGAAACAAAATAAACAAAAAAGTGAAGCTAGAAACAGGAAAAAGAAAAGCAAAAACAAGTAAAGCATAAAAACAAGCAAGAGAATAGCAAAATAAAGAAAGAAAAGAAAGACAAAAAACAAAGAAAAGACATGCAAAAAAAGAAAAGTAAAACATAAAAACACAGAAAAGCAATATAAACAAAGAAAAAAATAGTAAAAAAGAAAGAAAAGAAAAGCAAGAAAGAAGAAAGGAAAAGCAAAAATACAGAAGAGAAAAAGCAAAAAAGAAAGAAAAGCAGAAAACAAAGAAAAAAAAACAAGAAAATCAAAGAAAAGAAACCCAAAAAAGACAAAGAAAAGAAAAAGCAAAAACAAGAAAATCCAAAAAATAAACAAAGAAAAACAAATTAAACAAAGAAAAGCAAAATCAAAACAAAGAAAAGAAGCAAAACAAAACAAAGAAAACAAAGTAAAAAAAAAACACAACGAAAAGCAAAAATAACAAGCCCAACAAAGAAAAAAAAGAAATAAAAGCGCAAAAAAAAAAAAAGAAAAGAAAAAAGAAAAGGAGAAAGAAGAAAAGGAAACTACAAAGAGCAAAGGAAAATCAAATATACAGTTGTTAAAAGAAAGAAAAAAGCGAAAAAAGAAAGACGAAAATAGAAAAAGGAAAAGCAAAAAGGAAAAATGGGAAAAGAAAAAAGGGAGAAAATAAAAATGGGTAAAAGGGGGAAAGATAAAGAAAAAAAAGGTAAAAAAAAAATAAAAAAGAACCAAAAGAAAAATCTGAATTGAAAACTACAAATCTTGATGGCAATTATTCTTGCAGATATGTTCCTTGTTTATCTGATCTCTATCTTTTCACTGGCATCATTGACTTGAAGGTAATGATAATGAAAACCATTAACAATATATTAAAAGAAACAGCATCACATGAAAAAAAAATAACAATAATCAATACACACGAGATACTCCATATCACCGATAATAAACGAATACCTGAGGATAGTCATTGGTCTGAAACGTATTGCGTATAATAGCAATTCTGATGATTATGATGAATCATAATAACATTATCTGGAACGTGCATGTATAAAAATAGCCACGTTATTACTTAAGGGATCTAGGAATCCCAATGCTATATAGCGCTGTTAGTCAAGCAAGTGTTGACGCAATACATTATCAGGCATCTGTCTAATTTCTGGCACATCTGTTTATACATATTAAATGTAAAACTTTTGAAAGTGTAAATCTCTTGACGATTGCTACGGCTGAATATCGTTATTTTCATGATTGTGAAAATTTCACTGTTCAGTTTCTATTATTCATTTTTTTCACGTGCAGCAGAAAATTCTGAAGAGAATTCCGTACATGAAATCTGCTATTATTGTTTTTACTCTGTCTTCCGCACTTTTCATTGGCTACAACTTGTTTACCGATTGGACAGGAACCACACAATTGCTACCTTTAATGTAACAACGCTTGAAAGAAATGCGCACATATCATCTCAATTAGTTCTACTTAAGAAAATGATCTACTTAATGTTAACATCAAATAAACTGAAATCTGAATGCTTAATACTGAAACGATTATTTTTCATCCAATAAAAAAATGCTTGTCATAATCAAAGTATTCAATGAAAAACTGATTGAGACGATTCGAACAATTTCCTCGATATTCTGCAGAAATTATATTGTTCAGGAACAGATTATGTAAATATAACGATCGATAACTATCGACATTGTGCAAAAAAAGAAAAGAAAGTGATACGCCGGTCGACATAAATATATATAATTATGAACTTATTTGTCTGAATTTATAACGTTATTTTCGTTAGAAAAATTGGTTAAATATATGATTGTAGTTAAATCAGAGTTCAGTGTCATACTTTTTAGAAGAAAGTTGCAGACTTGAATTTTTCTCATGTTGCTTCATGAATAGAAATAACGTTCATCACTAATTTAGTCAGCCACGAGTGATAAACCCGAAACAAGTTTAAAAGCTGAACATTGCGTTCTCTTTCAGAATCGCTGATTTTGATGAAGCGAAGGTGATATTTCTGTGAGTACTAGTATATTCAATATTTCGTTATGATTGTAATAATGCGACTCATACCCGGATGTTGCGAAAATAGATTTTGCACTATGAGCCATTCGAAGTATCTAGGGGCAACAGTGGTTAGATGTAAGAAATGGTGAAGATGCGCGCTTCATCCAGTGTCTGCACTTGCCCTCGACATGTATGCGCGATGCTGCTCCGCCAAGAATATACACACGTTAATTAATATATAAAAACTCATTATATATTCAGCTACTCAAGAGAAGTCTGATTCTTCTTCTTAGGAATGTAGAATCCACGTTCGAATCCGCACACCCACTAGTCGGTGGTGATTGACAAATTTCGTGGTTAAATAGTAATATTACCTATGAAGGATATAATCCGGTATTTTTATTAGTAGCCAGGCTACGAACCTGCCGTCGGGACGACTGTACACGGGTTCCTGCGGAGAGCATTTAGACCTTCGGCCTTTTGCCTTCAGCGTCCTATGTACGTAAAAGTTATAAGAATTTAGAAATGATAAAATTATTTTATCTTTATTCGACGCTTTAATTTAGCATAATCTTTTTTTCGTAGATGCAACAGATCCCCGTAGATTCTTCTTACCATTTATTTCGCTCGCAATTTTTCTTTTCTTTTAAAATCGCCATTTTTTAGCATTCGTTGACATAAAGTCACTCTTAAAATTAGACATTTCAGAGAAAAAGCAAATTTAAAGTTTATTATGTAATAATTTTAACTTTAATGAGTTAATACTTCTATACTATCCGCGTTGTTTATTAGAATAAAACCGGAAAACGGAAAAACAAGGTTATCGTCTCCATTTAAATTTTAAATTTTACATTACAGTTTGATTAGACGATATCAATTTCAGTAATTTCTCCTGGATAATTAATGAAATAATGATAAGGAGGATTGAGCAAGGAATGGATAAAAGATAGAAGATTGATAACTGGGAAGATTTCCAGAGAGAAAAGTACATGTACCGATACACACACACACACACACACACACACACACACACACACACACACACACATATATATATATATATATATATATATATATATATATATATATATATATATATTGTGATAATTTCTCCTGGTAAGCGATGGAAAAATCGTCTAAATTACACAAAAATGAAAATAACACTGATATTTTATTATAACAAATATTTACCAACATTACGCAAAAATGAAAAATATCTTTAAATGCTAAAAATATCTTTAAATGCTAAAGAGGAAATTTATTCAATAAAATCGTTAGTGGCTTCAACAATGGCCTCTAGATAACTTCGGAATCTCCTGCAACTCATCTGGATCGTCTCCTTCCTTGAGTTGGTGAATGCTGTCATAATTTATTGCCTTCAGCTCAATGTCCTTGGGGGTTAAAACCTTTTCTGCTAGTACTTGTTAACACCGCGATGCCAAATTCTGTCCATTTTTAACAGAAGAGTTATTTTTAAGCCTTTTTTGAACAGTCAGATGTCAGTTTAATTGGAAAGAAACATTGCAGTTATTAATAAGAGGAGCTGAAATTAATATATACAAGGTTTCACAGCTGCAGCACCATTCCTTCATAGTCAGCCTATGAACTTTTCAGACTACCTTCGGCAAACATTGTAACAAGTGACTGGTTTGTTAAACATACATAGAGTTACATTTCTAGCTACGAACAGGTGTAGGAAATGTTTAGTCCCGAGATGAATAGCGAAACAATACTTAACAAATGCGACGGAAATGTGCCGGGGCTCATTATTCACTGTACAATTTCGCCGAGCAAAATGATTCGTGCCATGCCATATTTAATTTCTCCTGGATTCAATCTCCTCTATTTTATACATCATGTCGAGTGTGAATAATATCAGCCTCTGTTTTCTATGTGTCATATCAAGATGTGGACGACTATAGATTTGCAGAACTTCCTGTATGTTGTTTCTCTTGGCAACGCTTCTCCATTTTCTAGCTTCTTGTTTTTGTAGTACTTATTTTGTAATTCATTTACTCAAAGCCGTCAGACAGGCTACACGTTGTTTCACTCTTGTGTTTGTCTTGTCTTCAGTATGCTATAAGTGTTTTATTGACTATGGCCTTTTTAACTTGGGGAAATACTTTAAAATAATCGGAAATGTCAGTTATGAGTTATGATAATGTTGTAGAGTAGTTTTCACAGTGGAGGCTTGTATTTCAATAAGTCGTCCTAAATTAGGTTCGACGTACAAAACGTTAGGAACTTGAAATAGGAGTTAATGACGCAGCAATCTCGTTGTGATGGTTGATACTTCAATGTCCGATATCGACTGCCTCACTCAACACCACTGAGCTCAACTGGCGACCGCTACTACTACTACTACTTATTATGTGCGCGAGAGTCTATTAATAATAGAATAGGTACGTTCAGGTATGACAGATAATTCGGTGGGCGGCAACAAGAGGGAAAATATCTTAATTTATGAATTTATAGCATCAGAAAAGACTAAACCTCAATTGCAATAAGTCAAAATGCCTGCTTGTGAGGAAAATGAACTGCCCAACATGCGAATTACAAAGTGGACACACCGAAATCAAATAAGTAAAACACTCGAATTATATGGTAAGTGTCTTAAGAGAGTTCGAAATTTACGTTACTGAAATCTGAAGACTCACTTGGTTGGTTGATTGATTTGGTTGGTTGTTTTAGTTTCTCAATCTTTATGGGTCAGTTAATGCCGAAATTTAAATATATTGTACGCAATTCTTTTCTTCTTTCTTTAAGATAATAATAGTTTCAGTGATACAAGTCTTTCTAATTAACCAATAGATGGAGTGAGATGAGGCGGATTCATACTTTTTTCAATGGTATTTGGAACTTGGCTTTATCCGTTACACCAACCGCTCATCTAAGCTTACAACATTTGGTATTCCCAAGTAGAATACCCATTGGCATAGCGAAAATGCCTTCCAAAATCTAAGTGTTAAAGAAATTTTCACAAGAAACAAAGAAAACAGTACCAGCATTTTATATAGTACCATGTCTCCTATATGACTCTGTATAGTGGACAATCTCCTCACAGAGACTTGAAGCAACAGAAATGTGGTACTACAGAAGGATACTGAGAATACTCAGGACCGAGTATATGAACAATTTAGAGAAAACAGAAACAAAAAGGACAATTTATACTTAACATCAAGAAGAGACAGTAAACTTTTCTCGGGTACATAATCATGAAAGAGAGCTTAGAAAATTTAATACTCGAAGGAACGACTAAAGGCAAGAGGGCCAGAGGAAAACAATGCATAACTTATCTAGTAAGATTGAGTAAATGGATGACGGAACAAGGTTTCAGGGAGATAAAAAGAAAATCATTAACCGCTACAAAAGACAATAAATTGTGGAGAATAGTTATAACCAGTTGTACATAGAAGAGTGTTTCAACTGGTTTGTTAGTAGATATTTTAAGTCTTGAGTATTCTAAATATATGGTAGAATTCGACAATTATTTTTATGAATTTATTTATTTTGAAAACTATTTGTAGTTAATTCGGATGACAGAAGTATTCTACTTTGCAAATTAGGTCTATGATATCATCAACTCTTCAGCGTAACCAATTTGTATGAAATCGACTACCGCGGGGACCAATTTTTACTGATCCTTGCCTGAATTCAAATTATTAAAGGTCTGAATTTAATAATGGACTAAATTCAAATGAAATTTAATATTTTCGAGGTCAGTGTAAGGGTGAAAAATGATAGAATACGATTTGGCTGAATCAGTAGTGACACAAGTCTACAATAATATAATTAACGAGAAGCCTGGGCGAAAATGTTCTGGCTTTGTTCTTTTAACTGTCTCTCTCTCTCTCTCTTATAAAGTATAAGTCTGATTTTAAACTTTACAAATGCTGAAAATTCGTGATTCTGATTATGATACCTTGAAGGAAAAATTATGTTTACTTTTCGGAAACTAACGTAT